TTGATATGCACAAAAATTAAAAACTGGTGAAAAATTACCCGTTTCTTGAAATGGGTGTAAAATCGGAACAAAAAGTCGAAAATTAGTTTAACTGTTCTCAAAATCTTTTTATAACTCAAATAAGACTATTGCCTTTGAAAGCATTCGCCAGAAATTAGACTATTTTGACATTTTGTTAGAGAAAATCCGAAGTGAATAAAAGGATGAATGGGGTATAACTAATAAATAAAAAATGCTTTTAAAGGCAATACTCTTATTTAAGAGTCATCCAAACAATTTTAAAGCAATTAAACGTTTTTTCGACTTTTGGTTCCAATTTTACACCTATTTAAAAAAATGTAAATATCCAGTCACTTGGCCGAAATTCCTATACCAGAAGTAGTAAAACCGGGCGTCCAGAAACATACATTTATTGCAAGCAAAAACGAAATACACATCGATAACAAATTTTACTTTAAATTTGACAGGTCCCGCCACCGAGACAGAGTACGTTGTTCCCTCTACCAAACAGCAAATATCAAGCAAAAAACAACGTGTCAATTTTTGCAGTCAGATGAGGGACTATTGCAATAACCTCGAATATATTTAATTATTGAATTCATATTTAAAGTATTAGATCATAAAATTCAATATAATATGTAGATACATGTATACCTAAAGTACATATAAGAATGCATTATTATACATTTTGTGTTCCTGTACCTTATCGAGCCCTAACAACTATACAGGGTGTCCCGAAATTAGACGGTCATATTTTAACATCATAATCTACATCCTAAAATAGAAGTAAAAGTTCATATAAACATAGGTCCGAAAACGTTTCTTTTCCGAGATACAGGGTGTTAAAAGTGAAGTCCTGATGACACTCTTTTGTAAATATTTTCTAAACGTTTAAAGATAACGTAAGTAAAATTTGGTACAAATGCTAACCTTTTTACGCTCTATCTAATGGACTAAACCCCAGTTTTTGATCATCTTCATAGGTGGGTAAAGTAGGGGGCTTAGGGTAAGATTGCCCTAAGTTTTTTTTGTTGACAGTTTTTACCATTTTTGACTATAAAATTTGGAAAACCAATGTTTTCTTTATAATAAAGTTACTATTGTTGCATCTCGCTAGGACGCACCATTTTCAAGAAAAAAGCATTTGAAAATTTCAAGATAAGTTATTCGAAAGTGTAAACAATAATTAGTAGGCCTGTGAAATCAGAAATTTAATTTTTTTTTACTTTGGAAAACCAGTGACTAAAGAAATTTTAAAAAATATTTACAAAAATAGGCCATCAGGACTTCACTTGTAACACCCTGTATCTCGAAAACGAAACGTTTTTGGACCTATGTTTATATGAACTTTTATTCTTATTTTAGGATGTAGATCACGCTGTTAAAATATGACCGTCTAATTTCGGGACACCCTGTATATTGGAACAAGCAGTTATTTTGCGAATAAAATGCCAATTTAACGAAATTCTTTTATTCTAATTTTTTTTAATTGTAAATATGAAATATGAAATATGATGCATGGAATTATTTTTATGGTTTAATTATATATTTTTTGTTGATTACTATTACTTGTTTGACAATCGAAAAATGCTGACAACTAAATATTGGAACATATTTAGCTTTGCCTTAGGTTTCTTGAGTTTTATCAGCCTAACGTGAAGGAGGCTTTGAAATGAAACATACGAGTAAGTGGTGTGTTATCAACAATAATTGTCACGTGTCATTTTAGTATTAATAATTAACAACTGTCAGTTTTATTAAGAGTAAAATACAATATAATGGTACGTGGAAAACCTACTGATCCAAAAGTGCGAGAAATTATTATTCATCAATATTATAAAGGGAAAACAATGCGTGAAATTCCCAGTGAATTGAATATAGCAACAACTACTGTGTTTAATATAATTAAGAAATATGGCGAAATTGCCAGTATTGATATTCGGGGTAAAAGCTCTGGCCGTCCAAAAGCTGTTTCTCAAAGAAGTGTAAGGCATTTAATTAGAATATTAAAGTCGGGAAGAAGAAATATACTACGAGAAGTAACCGCAATGTAGAATTAGGCATTCCAACGACCTGTCCAAATGGCTACCAGTGGATAATGACAGTTTAGATATGGCAACCCTGTTGTCATTAACAGGGTCAATGATACATATATATTTATATAGATTGCTCAAAGCTGGTCGTTTACGAGCGGCCATATTGCCTGGCAAATATTTATTAATTTGAATCGGTTTAGCAAAAATGTGTTTTAAAACCAATTTTTAGCCTTTAGATATTAAAAAAAAAATAATTGCTTACATTTTTACTTCAAGGCATACGCTTATGTTTATTTTGAAAAATATGGATAATCAATCTATGTAACTATCTATTTCATTGTCCTTGTCAAATCACCAGGTCTACAGGGTTGCCATAATTTTGCAATATCATAACCCGTCAAAGCCCACTGGTAGGCATTCAGTTTGGAATGCCCAACAGAGAAACTGGGATGAATGTTTCCAGAGAATGCTGTCGCAAATATGTATATCCACAACAGCGGTCTTAGTTTTTATAAGGTATGTTTAATAGGTTCTTCTTTGCGGAATAAATTTTCTAATTTTTAAATTATTCGAATAGGCCAAAGAAAAACCATTGTTGACGGAAACTCAAAAAAGGAATCGTTACATTTGGGCCAAATCAAAACTTTCGTGGACCAAACATAACTGGGACCAAGTAATCTATAGCGACGAAAGCAAATTTGATATCTGTGTGGGAAATTACCGAAAGCGTGTGATTCGGGAAAAAACAGAAGCATTCCATAAGGATTGTCTCAAGAGGACTGTAAAGTTTCCGCAGGGCATCATGGTGTGGGGTTGTATGTCGGCCAAAGGGTTGGGAACTTTACACTTTATTGAAGGCATAGTAAACGCAGCCAAATATCAAGATATCCTTGAACATTCGCTTTTACCAAGTGCAACAAAGTTATATCCATCCGGAGATGTTATCTTTCAACAGGACGGAGCCTCTTGCCATACGGCTAAATCTACTAAAAAATGGATGGAAGAACATGACATTAAAGTTTTGTCACATCCCTCTAGCAGCCCAGACTTAATCCAATAGAGACACTTTGGCACAAAATGAAACAACGCCTAAGAAATAATCCTCAACGTACTTTACCAACTACGTGCTAAATTGCAAGAAATATCGGTACACCCCTGAATTCTGTGAAGGCCTGGTTGGTACAATGCCTAATAGAGTTCAGGCTGTTATTCGAGCTAAGGGTGACGTTACGCCTTATTAATTTTTATTTTAATTGGTTAAAAAGCATTTGTTCCAATATTTAGTTGTCAGCATTTTTCGATTGTCAAACAAGTATTTAAATAGTAATCAACATAAGATATATAATTAAACCTTAAAAATAATTCCATACATCATAAAAAATATTGTTAATTTTATATTTACATTTAAAAAAAAAGAATAAAAGAATTTCGGCAAATTGGCATTTTATTCATAAAATAACTGCTTTTTCCAACATATAGTTGTTAGGGCTCGAGCAAATATACTAACCTCATCGATCCATCAAGTTTGTGTTAAATGAGTAATATGGCATTTCAAAATGAATGATAGATTTAATACCTATATAATTAGCAAAATTAAGATAGTTGTTATTATAATAATTATTATATTATTTACAGCGTATTCATATTTTCATAAATCTGCTCAACTGCTTTCATCTTCAGATGTCAGATTTTAAGTATCATTTCATTTTTTATATGTGCAGTGTGTCCGAAATTGGTGATGCATGTATTGCGATCTCCAAAACTGTTAGAGATAGAAAAACAGATAATGGGGAAAGTTTTAGACAATTTTGTTTATAATTCAATGCCGTTTAGTTTGAGATTTTTTCTTTGAGATATTATGAAAAAACTAAAATGACGCATTTCCGAAAATACCCTGTATTTTCATTATGAAAATTTCTAAAATCTGTAAAAACGCAACTTTTTACGTAGAAAACGCCTGTGTCGTACGATTTTATTTGCAACGTTTCGGTTTCTTGGAACCATCATCAACTTTGTTTTTCATATGGGCGCCATATTGGATTTTTATCTCAAACTAAACGGAATTGTATTTTTGTTTTTTTGTTTTTTTTTTCTTCACTGCATATACAATAATATTGTTTATGTTGTAATTACTTTTCGTATAATATATAAACTTATTGAATTTTTCTCACCCTGCATAATGGCAGCTGAAAAAGAGAAACAAATAAATATTATTTTTAATGAAACCCACTTTTTCGTGAACTATTTATTATAAGGCTCTGGAAATAAAATAGTTATTTTCTATGTCGAAGATATTTTGAATGTATCTTTGTTTATAACCTATATTTAGGTCCATATTGCCTCCATCAATATATCATTTTTGCTCTTCCTGTAATTTTCTGACTCCGATCTCCACATTTACTTTTAATTTGCTACTAACTTGAAAATTCATTATTTTTTCAGATTTCTATATGTTTTATCTGAGTTTCATTATTCCTGCGATTCTTATATTTTGTCAATTTTTGTCAATATTTCCTTTAAACTTTTGCTTGTCCTTCTTATCCATTTCCCTAGCTTTCCTCTATTTATTTAATTTGTAATGTGGTTTTCTCAATTTCCATTAGCTTTCGACATTCTGAATTTAATATTTCATTCCTCCTGTACATTATTTACAGTCGTCTCTTCTATTTTTTTTAACTGTAGGTCTTCTCTATTCCTAATTATTATGCTACAATATATTTACTATACCTTTATTAGTCCTTTCTTTTTCAAGTTTTATCATAATTTATTTCTAGTTCTATCACATTGTTTCAAATTTCTTTCCCTCTTATCCAGGATATTGATACTTCAAATTAATTGATACAATATTTTGATGTAGGGTACATCTTTAAAGTCATACAAACAAAATACTATCATTTTTAAGGTGCCTTAAATTCTATAAACTAAAAATATATGTGGTTTTATTAATATATTTCTTATTTTTAGGCCTTTTAAGTGCAGGTGCAATGGGACTCTGGCACGGTGTAGAATATTACGAAAAAGAAAAACAAGTTGGTGAAGAATTCTATCAACAATGGAATAGTGTAAGTATCTAAATTGACATTTTATTTATGCACTTTCACACATAGAAGTACTGTGACTATAAAACAAACCAAAATAATACAACTAACAAGCAGGGCCATAGACAGAACCAATTTTTAAGTAAGGCATCCGAAATTTGAAATAGGGCACAAAGTTAGGTGGTTAGAGACATAGATGAAGAGGAAATCGAAAATTATTTTTAAAATAAGCTTGTATGTTGTGTTATAAAAATGTTTGAATATAGGGTTTTCCATAAGAAATCCAATTTTAAATTTCGTAGTATTTTTGATCTGTTCAAGATAAAACTTTAGTAAAAACTATACAATTTAAGAAAATGGCATGATATACGTTCCAACAACGTATAGAAATACTGACAAATCATAATAGACATGGTGAAAATTTGACCGAGACAGTTCTCAGAATTCGTGCTGATTTTGAACGATATGAATCACATTCTAGCAAACCCTTTGTAAAGCTAATCGCAAAATTTCATTAAAATTGTCTTGTAAATTTGCTAGTTCGAACTCGTCACGTCAGGTCAGCCCAAAATATTGTTATTGTCGCTAAAAGTATCGCAGAAAACCCAGATTTGTCTATTCCAAGACACTAAGGATCTTGTACTAGCCTTCATCGACACAAGCCACGTAAGTCTGAAATAATTGCCCTCCCAAATTTTTGTCTTTGGGGCTACATGAAGAAAAATGTCCTGCAAATAATTGGAGATAATATTCGAGCTGTTATTCGCCAGATAGAGCCTCAGCTCTCTGAAAGTGTCATGCAAAACTTCATTTAAAAGAATGACTATTTGCATAAAGAGTCGAGGTGGGGATTTACTGGACATCATTTTCCACAAGTAATCGCAAAGTTTGTACTTTGAATTTATATAAATATTTTTGTACTACCTGACAAAAATAAATGTTTCTTTTAAGATTAAAATGGAACTACTTATTGGAAAAATAAACTAACACAACAAATCGATAAAACAAAAACAAAACACGATAAAAATATTTAGTAGAGTTGATGCTTTCGCTTTGCAAGGCGGTGTTTTCATAGCACTTTGATTTCAGTTTGTTCCATTATCTTCCTTTTAAATACAAAAACACCAGACATGCCATTCTCTTGTGAGATGCATGATTTGACACTGATTCAAAAATAATCTCTGATTGCTTTCCTTGTTGTTGGCAAAGAAATTTCCAATTTGGCATATCATCATGAATTCCACAACTTGTAACGGCTATATCTTCTTAATATAACTATGTTGAAGAATGACGAGTTTGTGCTTGTTCAACTTTCTTATAGGTTCCGAAGACGACTCTAATATTCATACTACCTTAATATACGAAATAGTGTTATCAGTTACACAAGTCATGATATAAGATTAGGGATGTGAGTGCAAGAAAGCAATAATGGGATATAGGTAGTTTAAACTTGGCAAGTTGCCAGTGTTACCGTAAACACTGAGACTTTAGGGCGTGTAATGTGATTCGCAATACCTACTGGTTATTTTTAAAGTAGGAAATTGGCATTTTAAGGTAGGATATTGCCCCTATGTGCTCGCCTCTGTCTACGGCCCTGCTAACAAGTTATAAAAGTAATTAAAAAAAAAAACGACTCCAAAATCGTGCAGATGTCATTACAAATTAAGTATGCTGATTTTCTTAAAGGTCCCATCCAATGAACTGGAGTGGGATAGAAAGCCAATGTGCATAATGTATCAATAGAACAAGACTCTATGAACGCGGCCATTTTTATTTCTCATCTCACTTGGGAGTATTTATAATAACCATTTTATCTTTCACATTGTTATTGTCCAGTCCACAACCTGGGATCAGACAATAACAATGTGAAATAGAAAATGGTTATTATAAATACTCCAGAGTGAGATACGTGTCTGTGTCCATAGTGTCGCATCTCAAACCAATTAACAAGCATTCTACCCCACTCCAGTTCATTGGTCCCATTATTAGATCTGAGGTAGTCCCTAACAAAAAAAAATCAATGAAAGCAGATAACGCGGTAAAGAATTATCGCTGAACATGCATAAAAAATGAAGAGTTTGATAATTTTCTGGATCAAATTTATATGGGACCATCCCTTAGGTACCCCTTTTTTAACAAAAAATAATCATAAAAATCGAACAACGTGATGAAGAATTATCGCTGAACATACATAAAAAATATATTACGACGAATTGAGAAACTCCTCCTTTTTTGAAGTCTGATAAAAATCCTTTCTATACGTTATGAGAAAATTAAAAATGACTGTATTTTTTTTTTAATGTGACGTATGATTGCGCTATGAGTACTGCATTTTTTCATAGTTGCTTCTATAAAGCCATTTTATTAACCGACTTTAAAAAAGGAGGAGGTTCTCAATTCGTCGCAATATTTTTTTTTTAATTTTTTTTTTATGTATGTTCAGCGATAGTTCTTTAACACCTTGTCCGATTTATATGATTCTTTTTTTGTTAGTAAGGGGGTACCTCAGGGGTGCTCCCATATAAATTTGGTTAAGATGTGGTGATAGCATCTGCACGTTTTTGAAGTCGGCTTTTTAAATTTTTAATTTCTAATACTTGTATTACATTTTGAATTGTTTTTCGCAAATGTCATAATTTTCTTAAATTATTTTTTTTTTCTCTTTATTAAGTTTTAAAAGGATAATAGGTGCATTGAAATCATGTGTTATAAAAACAAATTACAGCTAATTTAAATTTCATAAAAAAAATACACGTGATTAAACCATGTGGGCAAGGTTATGCAATTATCTAAAAGAAGGTCAGCCTGTAGGAAATAATCCCATTGTTCTTTAAAATTCCTCTTTAAATATTGTGTTTATTTTGGTCACGAATGTCATACGAACTATATAGGTATACACCTCCATACAATTTCTACTATTTTGCATACTGATTAAGAAAATAGGGGAGAGTTATTTTTATGTAACTAAACTCATTCGGTTATATAATACAAACATTATGAAGTCATATGGAAGTGTCCTCAGTTAATTATGCAGTAAAACTTGCTCGAGTGACATGGCTAGATCGTTTCTTATGTTTAAATTAAAAAAAGGTATATTTTTAAAAAAAAAATTGTAGTCACAGTAGTTCGTTAGTTAAGAAGATACTAATTCATATAATAAAGGGTCTTCTATTAGAGATGCAATTTTTGTAAGTTTATACTTCTAATATTTGACATTCAAAATGTATGATCGGCATGAACGACCAAATGAAGCAACAATATTAAGAATAGTGAAAAAGTTTAAAGAGACAAGCTCTGTTATGAATGTAAAAAAATCAATTCTTCATCGTCCAAGTCGCTCACAAGATTATCAGTGCAGTTCGCGAAAGTGTAGAAGATGACCCAGGAATGTTCATCCCGCAACTAAACATTTCACAAACCACTGTTTGGCGAATCTGCACAAGGATTTATCATTAAAGGCTTATAAAGTTCAGATACAATAATTGAAGCAAAACAAAATCATTTTTAGTAATCAAGCACACTTTTGTTGAAAAACAAAACTGCCGCATAAGGAGTCCAGGAGTGATTGTAGAGAAACCATAACATTCTCAGAGAGTCACTGTTTGGTGTGGATTTAGGTCTGATTGTGTGATTGGACAGACTTCTTTGAAAATGCTGTTGCTGATGCTGTAACTGTCAATGGTCTTCGATATCGTGAGATGTGAATTGAGTTTTTTTGACCAGAATTGAATAATAGTCTGGAAGACATGTGGTTTCAGCAGGTGCAACATATCAGTCATCCACAGACACTATGGATTTATTGAGAGAAAAATTTCCTGAACCTGTAATTTCCAGGAACGCTGATGTTAATTGGCCACCAAGATCATGTGACATAACACCGTTTCTTTGGGGCTATATAAAAGACCAGTTCTACAGAAACAATTTATAAATATTTCTGATAGAACAATTATGTAAAAACGTAATGCAAAATGTTGATATAAGAGTGACTATCTGTAAGTTAGCAAGAGGTGGCCATTTATCACATATTCTTGTTAAACATTAATTGCCAAACCTTTAACTTTCAATAAACATTTGATTTGATTAAAGTAGATATTCTGTATTTTATTAACCAATAACAAATTGCGTCTCTAATGAAAATCCATTACCATAATTAAATTACTTTTAATCGCGTCTAACATCACTCCGTCTTCATCGCAACTCTCCGTCTATTCTCTTTTACTTTCTAAAAACAGATCCTCCAAGAAAACGCCGACGTCTACTACGACTGGAGTTTCGTCCTTAGCTGGCTAGGAGTCTTCAGTTGCCTGGGAGCGTCGCTGCTCTTCTTCTTCGCTTCCTGCTGCCTCGGCAACGAAAAGGAAAAAGAAGACCTCAACAATATTCAGTACCTCATGCCAGGTTGGTGGTTCTAAATTTATTTTTTTCGAATTCTAGGTTTTGCGAGACAGCACCCGAGTCAACTATGACTGGAGCTATATGGTAGCATGGGTTGGCGTCGGGTGGTCTTTGGTGGCGGCCATTTTGTTTTCCGGAGCAGCCATGTGTCTGCGAGGGGAACGGGAACGCGAGGAAGCTATCAACATGCAGTATCTAATGCCTGGTAACTTAATGTGGGGGCTAGGAAAACGTTTCTAACATAAATGTGGAAGCTACTAACATATTTTTTTATAGAATAAGTAGTTAAAAATAATCAATTTTCTGTTAAAACAAAAAATTTAATATGTGTTTAGAGTAAGAATTTTTTAACTAAGAGCACGAAAAAAACCAACAGCATTAAAATTGGCTGTATTCAGGTCCAAGATATGCAGTTTTAGTTTTAAAAAGCCAATAGTTATAAAATAATAACCAATAACGATTTAAATTAACTGGGAATAACCCAATCAATTTATTAAAAAAAAACAGAAACCGTGGCTAAAAATCACGGTTCGAAAGCTACTACGATAACTTACTTCACTGCAACCAAAGAAATCATACGCACGAATACGTCACGGAAATATTCAGTTCAAATATTGTTATTAAATTCAATGAGGTTTAATAGCTATTGGTGTAACCAGCTACGAAATGTCCCAATTTGTGCAACTAGTGAATATTTGCGGGACGAAAGGAGCGAGATCCTGCAAAATGAATAAACTAGATTGTGCAGTGCATATGTCAATTTGTCTGCTAGGAAGTCATAACGGGCTTGTCCGAAGGCATCCTCCTCTAATATGCTCATCTAGAATTTTCTGTAGTGATTTCAAAAGAAAAGATGTTAGACAGATTTTACGATAGAAGCTTGGTAGGTATCTACTCTATCAGCCTTGCATATATACACATCTTTCGCCATCGTCCAACCTAGCGGGATATAGCTCCATGCCAGGCTTGTTTTAAACAGCCTCTCAAGGAGGGGTAGCAAGGACAGGAAATATACCATCCTCTACGGGTAATTTGAAAGGGGAGAATGAATTCATCGCCTATTTCACTGCATTTGGAGATACAACTTGTGCAACGTAGTTCCAGTCCTTCTTGGGTCGTGTGATCGATTCCCTAGAAGCAAGTGATACAACTTGCCTGTCCTACAGAATTAGACTGCCAGGGAAGTGTTTCTGTAAAATAATCTTTAATGTTTTCTTCCTAGAGTCCTTATTTGTATCATCTGGTCTTTTATCGAGTCGACTCTCGGATCTTTGGTGAGATTCTTGTGAAGTTTTGTGTTTAAAGATCTGATATACTCTTACAGAACTTCCTCCACAATTATCGTTTGGCCTTTCTGATGGACTTGTTGTACGTTAGGGACTTTGTCCCAGCAACCTAATTTTGAGTCCCCTTTAGGTCTATTCTCTCCTTTAGTGGGCAGTTGTCCTGATAGGTAGTCATATGAGCATTTTGAATTGTATTATTCGCCACTTCAGTATCTGCTCTAATCCTAATAGTTTTGATTACGTTTCCCAGCCTTTCCTGGAAGGACTTTTAGTATCCACTCCCGTATGTGCTTTTTCGGTCACGGAATTGAAGAGTGGGTACCCGATCCATCGTCATGTCAAATCTCATATGTCTGTGGTCAGAGCATGAGGGTACGGTGAATACCCTCCTGTTAACAATATTAGTACTAACAAACTGCCTACCGATTGTTATATCTAGAACTTCCGCACGATTTTTGTCACGAAAGTTGGTTCTGAGTCTACTTTGTTAACAATAACTCCTTCACCGATTATATAATTACATAGTTGTTCACCTCGCACATTGATATCGATACTTTCCCAGTTCCTATGGTGGGCGTTAGCTAAGCATCTAATGATGAGCTGTTTGTTGTTCCTCTTCTTGCAATAGGCAACTAGTTCTCGCACTATCGCTGAAGGAGGTGGTTGTGTCTCCCGGAAAGTTAGCAGAGCAGACAACGACATCCTTACCGTTGTTCCTCGCCGGGATCGAAACCTGGGCTACAACCAAATTAGGGGTGCAGTAACCTGTTATTATAAATAATTATTTCGGATAAGAAGGCATGCTCTTGGTTTGTCCGGAGAGTTACCGACTACCAACTTACCAGAACAGTTTCCAATGCCACTTATATAGCCGCTATTAGAAATCCAATGTTCCTGGATAAACGCGATGTCTATACTCTCTTTGACAAACTTCCTGTCAAGGATATATGGGACCGCTTTGGCGTATTGGAGATTTGCCTGAAGAAAGAGCATGTCCTTTGTTAGTGGGTGGCTGGAATTTGATTTACGTTAGAGTTGGATGATGAATGTAGCACCTTCTCCGATATGACGTTGGTGGATGGGGTTAAGGTAACCTCCATCGTTTCTCCGCCAGTTTCCCGGCAGTCGAATGGATTTTCACCGTCGTTTTCGGTGTTATCCGAATGTCTTCTCAGTCTAATTCCACGAGTAGCTAGGGAAGAGGTAGTCAACTACGGCAGAGCCTCGCATTACCGTAGTAAGGCTGATTACTCTGGGAGCTCGCCTGGTGCTAATAGGGCTTTTAATTCATTTATTTGACACTCAATTTAAAAATGCATATAAATTAATGTATATAATATTCAGGGTGATTTATAATCAACTGTACACAGAGCTCTGGCAGAATCCTGACATCAAAATATTGTCACGTTAAGCGTGTTTTTTATAAAGAATATGCCACGTTATGCGTGTTTTAAATAATTTTAGGACAATCTGTGTCCCGGGGGTTATCAATCAAAATATACAAATTCGGACCTCAATCGTGTAAGGACTCTATATTGCCTTACACTTGGCTTAGTAGCCCTTAACTGTATAAGGGTTCTACTATTGATGTAAGAACCTAACACGTCTCTGTAAAACGGCTGAAGGAAACACAATGTTTTCTCAAAACAAATATATTATAATTAAAAAATATGATACAAAATAGGTCACAGCTCGACCCATAAATATGGGCTCAATATAATATAAAAGACAATAAAATACTTACTTACCAACTCCACTAATATTTGGGCACATGTCGTAACCCTTAGCTAACTATTAAAAAATGCAATTATTCAAAATACAAAATAAAGACTTTTAAATTAGACTATGAAGATCATGAGCTGGAGCAGCTACTGGGAATCTTCTACAAGGGGGACCTCCTATGAGGAGGATTCGTTCCCTGTGGAAAAAGCCCTGCGCATCACCTCGACATCACCTTTATAACTTTTTCATAGTTTATTGTTATTAAAACTAATGTTTAATAATTATTAAATAATCAACCTTGCACATGATTATGATTCAAAACAAATTGTCGACATACTTAAACAAAGTTTTATGTACAGAATGTTATTTAAATAATTAATTAAAATTAGGAAAAATATGAATTTATACGAGTCGTGACTGGCCAAATATGGCAGTAAAATGTTAGTACTTAAAAAAATCATCTCTGTCAGTATATGAAGCGCCCCCTCGTGGAGTAAGCCAAAAATAATATTATGGTGACATTTGTCGCCTTCTAAAGGTCCGATTTACCAAAATTTCATCAATATCAGTGAACCGGATACTGTAATATTCCAAAATAATTATTAATAAAATATTTCAACTTTTGACTAAGGCCATATTTGGCCAATCGTCATATTTTCATGTCAGGATTCTACCATTGGTCTGTGTACAATTCATTATGAATTATAATAGTTATTTATATACCAAGTCAGCAAAGTTATTATAGAACTAGTCTGAGATTATGAGCCGAGAGAGAGAGAGAGAGAGAGAGAAGCGAGCGAAACGAGTAACAGTCGTGTTCAATAAAGACACTTTGCTGACGTGGTCCATACAAACTTTTATCGCCAACTGTAAATAATTATAATTAATAAAAAAGGAGATAATATAACATCACATTTTACTATGACAAAGTAAACAAACAGAAAAATAACTGCTAATACAAAACAAATCAGTTACATACTATTTTTGTCAGACGGTCATAGCTATGTTAATAAATATTAGCGACATTTAAAATAGTTGATTTTCACAGTAAAATAAAGTGCTTGTTTACTTCCGCAAATCGCTATGGTAATGCATGGCTTTATTGACGGTTGGCGATAAAATATATTATATTAGATTTTTGAATTGTAGTAATGACGTAACGGGATAAACTAAAATGTAATAGACCTATTACAATTAATTATTGTAATGAAAGTTACAAAGCAGGTAAAAATTAAACTGTAATCTGCAAACTATAAGAGTTGTTGAAAATTCAAAATATTGTAAATAGGAGGCTCTTAAAACAATCCGATTTTGTTGTTCTGACATTGCACTCTCTCGGACTAGTTACAAAGGTATCAAGTATTAGCGCATGCGTACTAACTGATTCATAATATTGTAGGACATCGGAACAGACCTATATAAAAAATACATTTTGACACTTTCTAGTAATTTGATGTTAAGTATTAAGAATTTTAATGTACACAGTTGGAATAAAACAACCCACTTTTATTACAATAAATAATAAATGAAATAGTGGCTAATACATATTTAAATTGGAAATACCGTTAAAATAATAGTAGAGTCTTCTTAATTAACAATATGACAATAATGATATACTCGTATACAGTGCCGTCACATTCCATTTTTGTTTTTTTTTTTTTAATTAAACTATAAGGTCAAATATTAAACATAAATAATAGTTTTTTGTTTTTTATCTAAAAGAACTTCGTTTAACGTTATTTTAGAATTATTAAATAAGAAGTTTGACAACATAAACGAACATAATAATAGTACCTACTTCTCGGATACCGTCTAACCGGCAACACTGTGTCGCTTGTGCACTTTGCATCGGATTTTAAAAATTGTTAACTCTCGAAAATAAATAATAATAATAATATTAATAAAAAGTAATTTAGTATCCTTTTGAAAAATAATAATTTGTCACAAGGGTAAAGTACCTTCGTTTTCTTGAATAAAAAAAATGCAAAAAAATTG